TGGATGCAGCCCTGCAAGGTCATTTACCCGGCCCTTGCTCAGGGTCAACCTAAGTCTGAAACGACTTGAAAGCACACAACAGCAATCCTGTCTCATCAGCCAAAAGCAAGACCACACTTCCCATTGAAATACTAATAAACTTATATTTATTAAAATTGTTCTTCATTTTAATTATTGTAATGTTTTACAATGTTTTTTGCACTACAAATAAGATATGTGCAGTGTGGATAGGACTTCATTCATGGTTTTTTTTCAAATTAAAATCCGGCCCTCTAACAGTTTGAGGGACTGTGACCTGGCCCTCTGTTGAAAATGTTTGAGGACCCCTGTCCTAGATGATTCATAAGGGAAGATGCGTTCGGACATGTTAGTTGGGCCAGAACCGTTTAGGGCTTTATAGGCTAAAGCCAGCACTTTGAATTATGCCCGGTAGCAAACTGGCAGCCAGTTGTACACTCCCTGAGCGCCGTTCCTATTAGCAATCTGGCTGCTGTTCGTTGGACCATTTGAAGCTGTGAGTGCATCTACTCTGTCGAATTAAAGCAGTTTGGTACCATTGCCATGGCTCAAGGCTATGGAAGTCTGGGATTTGTAGTTTAGTGGGGCACCAATCCTTTTGGCAGAGAAGGCATTATAAAATATCAGCTTCCATGATTCTATAAACACTGGACCATGGTGGTTAAAGTGGTGTCAAACTGCATTGATTCTCTAGTGTAGATGCACTCTGTGACACAGAACTGGATTTGAATCCTCATTCAGCCATGGAAATCCTAAGCAAGTCACACTCTCTCAGCCTCAGAGAAAAGCAGAGCAAAGCTCCGCTGAACAAAATTTGTCAAGAAAACCCACAATAAGTCTATCTTGGGATCACCATAAAGCCAAAACTATATTTTGGTAGTTTGCTACCAGGCACAATTTAGAGTTGCCAAAGGTTGGAAACAACTTGAAGACACACAAGAATAAATCTAACAGGGAGGTGCATTTCTTACAGTAGGACCTTGTTCCTTGAAAAATGTCTTCATCTCTCGGGTTTTGCCTGGTGCTATTTGTGAAATACAACCTGTGACCATTAACACACACAAGAAGGTGTGTTATGGAGAGATGACCCTAACTTTTCCTTTCTCTGTAAATAATATATATATATATATATATATATATGTATATACACTTGCATTGCACATGTGGTATGTATTTCAAGTTAAAGTCTTCAACTTCAGTGAGATAATTTTATGACTCCACACTGTTTTTGCTTTTAGGTGAGTTTGCAGCAGCCATAAAGGGAGATTTGTTGTTGTTGTTCATTCGTTCAGTCGTCTCCGACTCTTCGTGACCTCATGGACCAGCCCACGCCAGAGCTCCCTGTCGGCCGTTACCACCCCCAGCTCCCTCAAGGTCAGTCCAGTCACTTCAAGGATGCCATCCATCCATCTTGCCCTTGGTCGGCCCCTCTTCCTTTTGCCTTCCCCTTTCCCCAGCATAATTGTCTTCTCTAGGCTTTCCTGTCTCCTCATGATGTGGCCAAAGTACTTCAACTTTGTCTCTAGTATCTTTCCCTCCAGTGAGCAGTCGGGCTTTATTTCGTGGAGGATGGACTGGTTGGATCTTCTCGCAGTCCAAGGCACTCTCAGAACTTTCCTCCAACACCACAGCTCAAAAGCATCGATCTTCCTTCGCTCAGCCTTCCCTAAGGTCCAGCTCTCACATCCATAGGTTACTACAGGGAATACCATGGCTTTGACTATGCGGATCTTTGTTGCCAGTCTGATGTCTCTACTCTTTACTATTTTATCGAGATTGGACATTGCTCTCCTCCCAAGAAGTAAGCGTCTTCTGATTTCCTGGCTGCAGTCTGCATCTGCAGTAATATTTGCACCTAGAAATACAAAGTCTGTCACAGCCTCCACGGTTTCTCCCTCTATTTTCCAGTTGTCAATCATTCTTGTAGGAGATACTCCCCTATTTTTGTAGAAAAAAGGAGCAATGTCTCCCAATATGTCTTTTGAATATAACTGTCTTCAAATTGAGTTTGCCTAATGCTGGCCCCAAGATTTTGCAGACTCAAGACAGCTTCCTTGATTGAGGCCCCTTCTACACTGCCAAATAAAATCCATATTATCTGCTATTAACTGGATTATATGGCAGTGTAGAAGAAGTCTGAGTCTTCATCTAGAATGCAGTATTTCTCTTTTCCTATTGCTTTATGTCTTTCCAAGCATTATTAACTTTTCTAATGAGTAATATCTTATGATATGGCCGAAGTATGATGGTCTTAGTTCAGTCATCTCAACTTCTAGGGACAGCAGGCTTCATTTGCTTTGGGACCATTTATTTGTCTTTTAAGCAATCTACAAGAGAATTCTGGCACTACACTTCAAATGAGTCGACTTTCTTTCTGTCAGTGCAATATAAGCACTGCTATTTAAAAGATATTTTAAAATCATTGAATTATCCAATAAATTATTTAGCTTCTGATAAATCAGCTGTACAAAGCAGTAGCATTTCCGCATTTATACTGAAGGAATCCCACTGGAACATTGCAGTGCACCCAAATACCTGGGAGTCACTCTGGACCATGCTCCTACCTATAAGAAGCACTGCCTGAACATCAAGCAAAAAGTGGGTGCTAGAAACAATATCATACGAAAGCTGACTGGCACAACCTGGGGATTACAACCAGATACAGTGAAGTCATCTGCCCTTGCGCTATGCTACTCTGCTGCTTAGTATGCATGTCCAGTGTGGAATACATCTCACCACACTAAAACAGTGGATGTGGCTCTTAATGAGACATGCCGCATTATTACGGGGTGTCTGCGCCCTACACCACTGGACATCCGCCGGGAAGTAGCAGCCAATAGTGAAAGGACCAAGGCAGAGACATCTCCAGCTCATCCCCTGTTTGGGTATCAGCCAGCAAGTCAATGACTTAAATCTAGACATAGTTTTCTAAGATCTACAGAGACACTCGCTGGAACACCTCAGCAAGCGAGAGTCCAAAAGTGGCAGGCTCAAACCCAGAACCTCAACCAATGGCTGATACCAAATGAGAGACTCCCCCCTGGGCACACAGAAGACTGGGCGACTTGGAAGGCGCTGAACAGACTGCGCTCTGGCACCACAAGATGCAGAGCCAACCTTAAGAAATGGGGCCACAAAGTGGAATCCACGACATGCGAGTGTGGAGAAGAGCAAACCAGACCACCTGCTGCAATGCAACCTGAGCCCTGCCACATGCACAATGGAGGACCTTCTTGCAGCAACACCAGAAGCACTCCAAGTGGCCAGATACTGGTCAAAGGACATTAAATCAACTACCAAACTCACAAATTTTGTATTTTGTCTGTTTGTTTGCTTTGTTCTGTTAGAAATGTAATATAAGTGACTGGTTGCCCTGACACGACAAACAAACAAACATTTATACTGACTGGAAGATGTGTGTTTTCGTATGAGGTAGAGCATTTTTACTTTCATATCTTGCTAAATAATTGACTACCTTTTTGAATTTCAAACTAATGCTGGTTTTCTGCCCTTAGCAAGCTCTTTTACCAAATGTGACCTCAGACCTCTATGATATTTTTTCTTAGTGTGATGGATTTCTAATATAAATGCTTTATTGAATATTTAGATCACATGAAAGGCCTGAGAGCCCCCTCCATGAAAAGAAGACTAGCATGCAGGTAATCAATGCCAATTTCCAACTTTTGTTCAGAAACTGTATTTTTGCCCTCCAGTAATATTTCTCAGTCCCCTTGGTCCTTTGATTTTCCATCTTCTGTTTTTTAACGTTTTTTGTGTCATCAAGTTTTTTCTCACTACATTTATGAAGTGTCAGACCTTTTCATTTTTGTTCTGCTATTTTGAGCATGACATTTCATGCTAAAAGTTTCCAAGAACACTATATTCAGTTGAAATTGATACATCAAGCCCTATGAGGATATTGTAATGTTCTAACATGTTTTTTCACTACAAATAAGATATGTGCAATGTGCATAAGAATTCATTCATTTTTCCCCCAAATTATAATCCGGCCCTCCAACAGTTTGAGGGACTGTCACCTGACCCTCTGTTTAAAAAGTTTGAAGACCCCTGGTCTAACCACTAACTGCCACGGCACAGTGCTATGGAATCATCGGAGTTGCAATTTTCCGGAGTCTTCTGCCAAATAGTGCTGATGCTTCACCAAACTACAATTGCCAGGATTCCATAGCATTGAACCATGGCAGTTAAACGTTGACTCATACTGCATTAATTCTTCAGTGTAGACGCAGCCTGTCTTTGAAGGTCTTCTTACATTACCGAATTATAGAACTGTGATTCTACTTTAAGTATCATTATTTCATCCTGTGGAATGAACACTATGTTACATGATTTTGTCCCTGGGTCATAAGTGTCATTTTCTAATTGATTCTATCATAAAAACATAGAAAAAGTTAATTAAACTGCAAAAACTTTGTTTTTGTGGGACACCCAACAGCACATTTTGCCAGAGTTTTTCAATGAATATCTTACAGTCTCAACCAATTCAACATGGTTTGTGGCAACCACAAAAACAAAGTTTCTGGAGTAGAACAACTACTTTCAAAGTAAACACCGCACAATTAAACAGGAAATAACACTTTCAAGCCTAATGCACTTTATGGGAGAGTTAGAATTGTCTGCACACCCTTTTATTTCCAAAATATTCATCCTACCTCACCTGGACATGCCCAGCATTTTTAGAATTTTAATTATTACATTTGGCCCTGCCACATGTTTTTAATAGTGTCGTGTTTTTGTTAATGTTCTGCTTTGTTATGAGTTATTTATTTTTGCATTGTATTGTTGTTGTTGTGTTTTTGCTAATGATGTACTTTGGGCTCGGCCTCTTGTAAGCCGCACCGAGTCCTGCGGGAGATGGTAGCGGGGTACAAATAAAGGATTATTATTATTATTATTATTATTATTATTATTATTATTAAGCCAGGAACAGATTTGTTTTTCAATTTTTGTCACATAGTGTAATGCTTTGGTATGGTGCTAAAGCTCTTTGTCTGCGGGCTCTAAATACTTTCTCCTAAACTAAAAATTCTAAGGTTCAGTAGGATGTTCCCATAATAGTTAAAGTATAATAATTACTGTCATTATATAGTGCAAAAGGGCTCTGAGGTTTGGAAAGTGTCCTCCTAGGATGGTTTACTTTTAAATAACAGCCGATTATGTATAGAAATCAATCTCATTTCAAAAGCTTTGTATGGTGCTTGGAAGTTGCTTTGTGACAAACCCAAGTTCCAACATTTCACCTGTTGTTCATTTGTTGCTGTCATTATGTTTCCCCCCCCCTAAAGCACTTTTTTTCTGTTTTCAAAGTCTAACAGTTCGTCTGTACTGCTCACCAGTAACCAAAGAGCTGCTACTAACTAATCCGAGATATAAATTTTGGGAGAATTACATAGTAAGTTACTATTCTTGTATGTTACAACAAGTGTTCTAACTTTATTTATTTTATTTATTTCCTATATTTATATCCCGCCCTTCTCCCCCCGAAGGGGGACTCGGGACAGCTGAACAGAAGCATCATACGATGCTATTATCATAAAAACAACCACAGTACAGTCAAAATATTAAAAATATGAAAACAACAATTAAAACAATTAATTAAGACACATCCATTAAATCGAAATCCAAAAACCAGTCTGGGTCAATTCATTGCCATAAGTTGTGTGATCTTCTTCCACTTGCTGCTCACTGATCAAACGCTTGATCCCATAACCAGGTCTTGATTTTCCTTCTAAAAGACAAGAGGGAGGTGGCCAATCTGATATCTCTAGGGAGGGCATTCCATAGGCGGGGGGCCACTACAGAGAAGGCCCTGTCTCTCATCCCCATCAACTGTGTTTGTGGTAGTGGTGGGATCGAGAGCCCCTGCTCTCCTGAAGATCTTAAACTTCGTAATGGTTCATGGCAGGCGATACGTTTGGACAGGTAGTCTGGACCAGAACCATTTAGGGTTTTAAAGGTTAAAACCAGCACTTTGAATTGTGCTCGAAAGCTAATCGGCAGCCAGTGGAGTTGGCATAACAAAGGAGTTGTATGTTCCCTGTACGTCGCTCCGGTGAGCAATCTGCCTGCCGACCGTTGGGACTAGTTGAAGCTTCCGGGCAGTCTTCAGAGGCAGCCCTATATAGAGTTCATTGCAGTAGTCTATTCGGGATGTAACAAGAGCGTGGACCATCATGGCCAAGTCAGATTTCTCAAAAAAAAAAAAATTCAAAAGCTTCAACAGACAAGAGTCCTTTGTCCCACCCTGATCATTCCACTGATATATAAACCCCTTTTCCTAGTTCCAACAGACCTCACTCCCTCTGAGGATGCTTGCCATAGATGCAGGCGAAACGTCAGGAGAGAATGCCTCTAGAACAGTGACTCTCAACCTTCGTTATGGGTCTCATGTTGTGGTGACCCCCAACAATAAAATTATTTTTGTTGTTATGTCATAACTTTAATTTTGCTACTGTTATGAATTGTAGTGTTAATATCTGATATGCAGAATGTATTTTCATTCCCAGGACCAAATTTGACACAAATACCGGATATGCCCAAATTTGAATATTGGGGGTAGGTGGATGGGTTATTTTGTCATTTGGGAGTTGTAGTTGCTGGGATTTATAGTTCCCCTAAAATCAAAGAGCATTCTGAACTCCGCAAACGATAGAGTTGAACCAAACTTGGAACACAGAGCTCCCATGACCAAGAGAAAATACTGGAAGGGTTTGGTGGACACTAACCTTGAGTTTTGAAGTTGTAGTTCACCTACATCCAAAGCACACTGTGGACTCAAACAATGATGGATCTGGATCAAAATTGGCATGAATGCTCAATAATGTGAACACTAGTGGTGTTTGGAGAAAAGAGACTTGACATTTGGGAGTTGTAGTTCGTGGGATTTATAGTTCACCTCCAATCAAAGTGCATTATGACCCCACCAATGATAAAATTGGGCCTAACTTCCCACACAGAACCCCATATGACCAACAAAAAAATACTGTGTTTTCTGATGGTCTTTGGCGACCTCTCTGACACCCCCTCATGACCTCCCCAGGGGTCCCGACCCCCAGGTTGAGAAACACTGCTCTAGAACATGGCCATATAGCCCGAAAAAACCTACAACAACCCAACTTTTCAAAACCTTTGTAAGCAGCTATTTTTGCAAAACAGTAATAGTAATAGTATCGTCCTAAGGAGATGAACTTATTCCAAAAGGTTAAGTTTAGCTCATATCATTCATCTGTCACATTGTAAAGTAATGGATCACTAATTACTCAGGAATTTACTTTCTTAAAGCTATTCAGATTGTAATTTTTCCTCCCCATATGCAGAAGATAGCTACCTCTTTAAAAATGTTTTTTTTTGTTGTGAGTCTTATTTCTTGATTAAATATGCATGTTACTTTTTGAATATATGCATTTCATATGTTTTTTGTTTGCTTGCTGTAGGTTGCCCTTGAAGTCGAAACTCCCACACAAATTTCTCTAATTGATGAAACATCTGGTGAGGTAATTAGCTTTACTGGCTGGTTTGAAATTTCAGTTAAAATAGTGACTCAAATGGGTAAGAGTGCTACTTATTTTGTGAAATATGTCTTTGACTTAATATAAAAATGAGGCAGGGGTGGCAGAAAATTGGGTTTTTTTCTACATTTGTCCTAATTTTTATGCTTGCTCCACTTTAAGATCTTCACATTTTCCTCCTTTGCTGTTTGTTTGTACTAAGGCAGACAACTTCTACCAGCATTTTGTCCCTAGGTCAGTGGTTCTCAACCTTCCTAATGCTGCGACCCCTTAATACAGTGCCTCACGTTGTGGTGACCCCCAACCATAAAATTATTATTATTGCTACTTCCTGATTGTAATTGTGTTTCTGTTATGAATCATGATGTAAATATCTGAAATGCAAGATGTATTTTCATTCACTGGACCAAATTTGGCACAAATACTCAACAACAGCAGTCCATGCTGTCATGTCAGCCACATGACCTTGGAGGTGTCTATGGACAACACCGGCTCTTTGGCCTAGAAATTGAGCACCAACTCCCAGAGTTGGACACGACTGGACTTAATGTCAGGAGAAAACTTTTACCTTACCTTACCCAATATGCCCAAATTTGAACATTGGTGGGGATTGGAGGGAGAATTGAGTATGTCATTTGGGAGTGGTAGTTGCTGGGATTTATAGTTCACCTTCAATCAAAGAGCATTTTAAATTCCACCAATGATGGAATTGGAACAAACTTGGCACACAGAACTCCCACGGCCAACGAAAAATACTGGAAGGGTTTGGTGAGCACTGACCTTGAGTTTTGGAGTTGTAGTTCACCTGCATCCAGACAGCATTGCAGACTCAAACAATGATGGATCTGGACCAAACTTGACATGGATACTCAATATGCCCCAATGTGAACACTGGTGGAGTTTGGGGAAAATAGACCTCGGCATTTGGGAGCTACTGGGATGTAAAGCTCCCTGCCGTCAAAGGGTGCGCAGGGTGCAGGCAGAAAGGCTGCGCTCATGGCAAGGCCTTGAGCGCAACCCTTCGCCTCGCCCCCTGCACCCTTCTGAACTCGGAAAGGCGCAGGGGGCAGGAAGAAAGGCTGCGCACATTGCAAGGCTGTGAGCGCAGCCCTCCGCCTCGCCCCCTGCACCCTTCCGTATTTGGAAAGGCGCAGGGGGCAGGAAGAAAGGCTGCGCACATGGCAAGGCTGTGAGTGCAGCCCTCCACCTCGCCCCCGCACCCTTCCGAACTCGGGAAAGGCGCAGGGGGCAGGAAGAAAGGCTGCGCGCATGGCAAGGCTGTGAGCACAGCCCTCCGCCTTGCTCCCTGCGCCCTTCCAAACTCAGAAAGGCACAGGGGGTGGGAAGAAAGGCTGCGCTCATGGCAAGGCTGTGAGCACAGCTCTCCGCCTTGCTCCCTGCGCCCTTCCAAACTCAGAAAGGCACAGGGGGTGGGAAGAAAGGCTGCGCTCATGGCAAGGCCGTGAGTGCAGCCCTCCACCACCCCCACCCCCCTCGCACCCTTCCACACTCAGAAAGGCACAGGGGGCAGGCAGCCCTCCTTTGCCCAAACGGCAAGGGTCAGCAACCATTTTGGCGGGGACGGGGCCAACCAAGGCAGGTTTGCGACCCCCCGAAAATGGCCCAACACCCCCCCCCCCGGGTGGTTCTTGGTCCAAAAGAGAAGTGAAAAAAAGTCTTAAAACTAGAGGCCAATGTGCCTCGTTAATACTTCATTGTCTATCAAAAGGACTAGAATTAATTGTGAAATAACCACAGAAAAGTAAAAAACAAGGCAACGTATTGTAATCCTGCCTGTTCTCCCCTCACCTCTCTTGTTATATTGCTCAGTATGGGTATATTGCCCACTTCTTGCCATCCATAATTAGTATTAACTAGTATATATGTCTCTTTTTCTTCTGTGTCTGATCCCAGAAAGAAGATATTGTCGTAACACTTCTACCGGCTGGCCACTGCCCAGGATCAGTCATGTAAGAATTTTGCTTAGTTAATGGTAGTGACTTAAAAATACCAAATATAGATTTTAACAACATAAAAGTTTTAAGATGCTGTTAGGGTGTTGTTTCATTTAGTTCATTATGGATATCTTTGCTAAGACTTGCTTCCTTCATCCACTCTTGATAGTGGGCATCAAAATCTGTGATTTTTAATATGGTAGACTCATACTAAACAATGTGTGGTGATCCTACTCAAACTGAATTTCATTGTATTTTAAATATTGACATTAAATTTGTCCCCAACTACAAAGGGGCATGTGGCAGCTTATGTGAAGCTGACATAATGCAAAATAAAATAAAATACTACCGAAAAAGAAGACTAAAACAAAAGAGGCAGCAACCATTTTAAAAGCAGGTCACAAAATGAAAACGTGAGCTGTGGACCTCTGGTTCATATTTATCTTGTCCTCGTTCACTTGGATTCATCTGAATATAGATTTGAAAGGAGAGTCTAAGGATATTGCTATAATTAATATTATGTGGAGGATTCTAAGCAGGTCCCTAATTAGTTAGAGCATGTTCTCACCATCTTCAACCAAATGTCCAGATAGTCCTATTCTGCCTTCATTAGACCACACCTGGAATATTGTGTCCAATTCTGGGCACCACAATTGAAGAGAGATATTGACAAACTTGAATGTGTCCAGAGGAGGGCGACTAAAATGATCAAGGGTCTGGAGAACAAGCCCTATGAGGAGCGGCTTAAAGAGCTGGGCATGTTTAGCCTGAAAAAGAGAAGACTGAGAGGAGACATGATAGCCATGTATAAATATGTGAGAAGAAGCCACAGGGAGGAGGGAGCAAGCTTGTTTTCTGCTGCCCTGGAGACTAGGACGCGAAACAATGGCTTCAAACGACAAGAAAGGAGATTCCATCTGAACATTAGGAAGACCTTCCTGACTGTGAGAGCCGTTCAGCAGTGGAACTCTCTGCCCCGGAGTGTGGTGGAGGCTCCTTCTTTGGAAGCTTTTAAACAGGCTGAACGGCCATCTGTCGGGGGTGCTTTGAATGCAGTATTCCTGTTTCTTAGCCGGGGGTTGGACTGGAAGGCCCATGAGGTCTCTTCCAACTCTTTGATTCTATGATTCAGACTTCCCAGATATGGGAGGGGCACATTTGCAGGGGGGACGGGACGTGCAGATAGTGATACCCTGCTCTTCCTCCAGTTGTTATCTAAATGAATGGAAGTAAATGTCCAAATGGAGTTCCAGGAACACACATGTATGTTTCTATCTAGGTTTCTGTTCCAAGGTGAAAATGGCACTGTGTTGTATACTGGAGACTTCAGACTTGCAAAAGGAGAAGTTGCCAGAATGGAACTACTGCATTCTGGGAACAGGTATGTGATCTTAAATTCCTATGATATAATTATAGTACCGTATATTCCGGGGTCCAACACGACTGGGGCTATAAGACGACCCCCCAATTTTAGCAACCAAAATAGAGAGTTGGGGATATATTCGCCATTTAAGATGACTCCCCAATTCAGGCACTTCTCACAAGGCCTGGACAGGAAGAAGTAGAGCAGCCTGATCAGAAGGGCCTCTGGCACTCCTCCTTGGCCMCCTCCTCCTTCTCCGCTGCGTTTGCACATGGCAGCCTCCCGGACAGGCTCRCCGTCGTTCCTCTCTTCCTGTCCGCCGCGCTGGTCAGGCCGCTCTCCTTCTTCCTGGGCAGGTCTCGCGAGAAGCGGCTCTTCTCCTGTGAGACAACGTTGTCTTGCGGGAGAAGAGCCGCTTCTTGCAAGACCTGGACAGGAAGAAAGAGAGCGGCCTACACAGAAGGMCTTTCCACGCTGGTCAAGCCGCTCTCTTTCTTCCTGGGCAGGTCTCGTGAGAAGCGGCTCTTCTCCCACGAGATAATGTTGTCTCGCGGGAGACAAGCCGCTTCTCGCYAGACCTGCCCAGGAAAGAGAGCGGCCTGACCAGCGCAGTAGACAGGAAGAGAGGAACGACGGGGAGCCTGCCCGGGAGGTTGCCATGTGCCAAGGCAGCAAAGGGAGAGGAGGCGGAGGAGGAGGGGAGCCCGTGGCCAAGGCCCTCCACCCCAAGATGCTTGACCGGTAATTTTATTATTATTTTAATTTTATACCCGGGGTACTAGATGACCCCCAAAATTTTATAAGGATTTACATGCCTAAAAATTTGTCTAATATCCCAGAATATACGGTATATTCTTTCAGAATCTCACACCTTGATCTTACTTTGATGTGAGATAGTTTGCAGGTGAAATAATTGATCGGTAAAATTGAAAAGTGCCCTAAACTAGATGGACAGGTGAAGGCGGTGGATTAATACATCCCTCTCCGAAAACTCTATCCTAGTCGTATTTCACCTGTTCATGCTCAGCATTATTTTTAAATTTTTAATTATTACATTTGGCCCAGCCGTAGGTTTTTAGACGTCGTGGTGTTACTGTTAATGTTTATTGCTTATTTTCTGTTATGAGTTTTATTTTATTGTTTTGTATTACTGTTGTTATTGTTTTTATTACTGATGTGTTGTGGGCTCAGCCTCATGTAAGCCACACCGAGTCACTTGGGGAGATGGTAGTGGGGTATAAATAAAGTTTTTTTTATTATTATTATTCATCTTGGAGTGGGCAAATTAGATCTGAGGAGAAATCAGTCATATTCTTACTTTGGATATTGTAACAGCCACTTCACAGGTCCAGTCCCACAATAAGTGACAGTATAATTGAGATTATATTACTCACTTGGTAACTTCCTCATGCTGCAGATGAAATCTGTTAAATATTACCTCCTTCATATGCTGTACATGTGTGTGTATAATCATTGTGTTGCTCCTCATGTACAAATAAGAGGGACTCTCTGGTTGGGGACATGCTTGTATATTCTGCATTTCTGTCTTTTTAGTGAAAGGGCAATTCTTCTGATAATCATGTACTATAGAAGAACAAAGCCAAAGAGTAAACCTATTCCTATATGTTTGATATGAGATGGTTCTGCTTTGCAACAACTTGACTTTGGTGCCCAGCCATGGCCTGCAGACTGAGAGGATGCACCATGTCCATAGACAATGCCACATATCTTCACTGCTGGCCATGATTTGACAGGGACACTAGTGAAAAGCAATCTGTCGAGGTCTGATATTTACTCGTTGCTGCATGGAAACATGTCCTCAATGTACAGTGAATGCCTCTGTTTTACTAGGCATGAGAATAGTGTTTCTCTTGGATGCATTATTTTGTGAAAGTGGGTGAATCATTAAAACAGTCATAAAAATCTCTGTGAAATAGCTAACACACATTTGTTACTGTATACAGTGTGAGTTTTATACCAAGCACTCTTAAAAATGTTGTTTTTCTTTTTTCCAGAGTGAAAGATATCCAGAGTCTGTATTTAGATACCACTTTCTGCGATCCCAGATTTTATCAGATACCAAGCAGGGTAAATAAAACAAAAGGGGTAAAATCATGTAGTTTCTGTTGCCTTACTGTTAGCCAGAAGGTCCTGCTTGCATCTTTTGCTAACCTTACTTAGAGTTTCATTGAAAGATCAGTGATTTCAACAACCAGATAACACTATGTAACACGACTTTTGTTCCTGGGTTATAAACACCATTTCCTAATTGGTTCTATCATAAAAACATGGGAAAAGATTATTAAACGGCCAAAACTTTGATTTTACAGGACATCCTGCAGCACACATTGCTAGAGTTTATCAATGAATATATCATAATAGTCTCAACCAATTTAACCTAGTTTGTGACAGCCACAAAAACCAAGTTTCTGGAGTATAACAACTACTTTCAAAGTAAGTTCCACACAATTAAACAGGAATAACACTTTCAAGACAGGAACAGAAAAAAAATCAAATTTTTATGCATTTTAATTTATTTACGGCATTTATATGCCGCCCTTCTCACCCGGAAGGGGACTCAGAGCGGCTTACAAGGTATATCTACATACAATACACTATACTATTAGCATAGTACAATATCAGCATTAAACACTGCTGTATTGTACTATACCAATTGTATTGCAATATTATTAGTAAAAATACATGTAGTATAAATATATAATTACAATATCATATTATTATATTGCATTACATTATAATATCATAAATATTAAATGTATATACAATATATTATATTATATTATATTATATTATATTATATTATATTATATTATTAGAATAGCACAGGAGACAAGGTGGAACTGTCCCCTGCCCCCCTCCCTTTCACTCTGGCCCAGAGCGGCAGTTGGTGCTGGGGGGAGGGGGTCTCCAGGTAACAGCATATGCAGGAGACAAGATGGAGCTGTCCCCTGGCCTCCCTTCTCTTCGCTCTGGCCCAGAGCAGCAGATAGTATAATCAGTCCGAATTATCTCGTCTGTCTTGACTCCAGTAGAATTTACAGTGGACCACTCTGGCTATATGTTGGGCTTGTATGTATGTGTCATGGATTACAGAGTTTCCACAAATACATATAATGAATTTTCCTCAATGTGTCAAAGTAATATAATAATAATACTGTATTTACAGACTGCCCTCTTTCCCCAAAGGGACTCAGGGTGGTTTACACACAGAAAAAGCAAACATTCAGTGCCCTACGTAAATACAAACATCTCCAAAATAATACAAAATAATAACCGTGAACTTATAATAAAAGCAAAATTAACATTAAAATGAAACATGGAATGTGAATAATAATTTAAACAAAATTATGCTAATAGTGTAGTTGTATTTTACTTGCTTTTTACATAGATGACTTCATTTACTTCCGCTGTACTCAATTGGCAGTCTCTTTGAACAGCCAAAGTTTAAAAGACCTAATATCTGTTTTGGAGGTTGCCCAAAGCACAAGCATTACGTGTGTAACAATAAGAAACCCTGTTCAGTCCTGAGCATCCATGGTAGCAACATTTTAAAAACTATCAAGACAATATGGTTTTAGTATAGATGAGCCAATATCTTAATGGAGAACAAGGAGCACAATATGCTCGTGTTAAAACCCTTCCATTTTGATGAGGTTTACAGCTACATGATGCAGGATTGTGTGAATCTTTGAAACAGCAGAACTGCCCTCTCATAGTGGAAGAGTCACAAAATGAGAGAGGAAAAGTATCTTGAGTTATGGATCTTGAGTTATGAAAATGATTTCTAACAGTCTCTTCAAAATACAACACTATGCAGCAATGATGTCACCAGTCTTTAAGTTCAAATCAATTGTTTACTTTCTTTTAATTTTTAGGAAGAATGTATGCAAGGTATACTGGAATTAGTACGGAATTGGATCACTCTAAGTCGCTATCATGTGGTATGGCTGAACTGCAAAGCTGCTTATGGATATGAATATTTATTCACAAATCTCAGTGAAGAGCTTGGAGTCAAGGTAGGATTGCTGTTTAGAACAACTTTCAGAATGAAAAGAAAGCTGGCTGCAGTTAAACTACCCGACAAGGAAAACACCAATTCATTTGATTCAGAATTATTACTTTTGGGAGCGATTAGGGACCCTCAGCTTGACATGAGGCCAGCATCACTCAGACCAACTATAACTTAAGGGACATAATTCAAATGAGAGGCACCACAGACAGAGCCAATAGGAGGGAGAGGATTTATGTGGAAGGAACAAGTGAAGGGATATATTCCTCTGGAATGATTATTGCTTTTTTTCAAATTCTGTAATGTTATTAATGTCTCTGAACTTAATTTCCTAGGTGCATGTGAACAAATTGGACATGTTTAAAAACATGCCAGAGATCCTTTACCATATCACCTCAGATCGGCACACTCAGATTCATGCATGTCGACATCCAAGGGTGTGTATCTATTAGCAATTCTGATTTCTGATGTTCCTATTATACAATCTCTGTGCTACAGGTATGTTCAGAAAGAATACCATATATGAGTATAAGCCGACCCGAATATAAGCCGAGGCACTTAATTTTACCACAAAAAACTGGGAAAACAGATTGACTCAAGTATAAGATGAGGATGGGAAATGCAACAGATACTGGTAAATTTAAAAATAAAAATAGATACCCATAATTGAGGCATCAGGAGGTTAAATGTTTTTGAATATTTACATAAAACTGTAATTTAAGATAAGACTGCTCAATTGTGATTAAACCATTCTGACCTTCTTCAATGTAAATGTACTTGTGTACCCTTCCAATAAAAATAGAGTAAAATAATAAATTTAATAACAATAATTTATTTATTTTGTCGTGTCAGAACAACCAGTCAAATTATATTACATTTCTAACAGAACAAAGCAAACAAACAGACAAAATACAAAATTTGTGAGTTTGGTAGTTGATTAAATGTCCTTTGACCAGTATCTGGCCACTTGGAGTGCTTCTGGTGTTGCTGCAAGAAGGTCCTCCCTTGTGCATGTGGCAGGGCTCAGGTTGCATTGCAGCAGGTGGTCAGTGGTTTGCTCTTCTCCACACTCGCATGTCGAGGATTCCACTTTGTAGCCCCATTTCTGAAGGTTGGCTCTGCATCTCGTGGTGCCAGAGCGCAGTCTGTTCAGCGCCTTCCAGGTCGCCCAGTCCTCTGTGTTCCCAGGAGGGAGTCTCTCATTTGGTATCAGCCATTGGTTGAGGTTCTGGGTTTGAGCCTGCCACTTTTGGACTCTCGCTTGCTGAGGTGTTCCAGTGAGTGCGTGTTATTATTATAACAATAATAATAAATAGAGTAAAATAATAAATATAACAATAACAACAATAATAAAGTAAAATAATAAATGTAATAATAATAATAACAATACTACCTTTATTATGTATTTATAACAGAGTAAAATAATAAATAACCTTGACTCGAGTATAAGCCGAGAGGGACTTTTTCAGCCCCCAAAAAGATTGGAAAAACTAGGCTTATACTCGAGTATATACAATATATCTTCTGGGAAAGAGGAAGAGGCTCAACTGAAGTCACAACTGGAGCCATGGAGGAAAACTAATAATAGCTTCATTGCCTTATGTTCATTTATGTGTTTTTTATACTTACTGGTTACTCTTCAAAAGTAGTTATATTTCAAAGAAATACAATGGAGAGGGGGAAAATGCAAAGCAGAGAAAGCAGTCTATCTTAAAAACGTCTCCCAAGCAAGAAATTGCTATTGGAGTGTTATCTGCTGAAAATGCCATTCAAAAGAAGTAGAGTTTGATTGAAGGGAGCTCTAGAGAAGGGTGTTCATTCAAATGAATGCTTCTGTTCTTTTTTAAAAAAATGTTAGCTGGTTTTGTTAAAGAAGAACAAGAAAGGAAATGTCATTGGAGAACATATATGTGATTAAGACCCAACCATTTAGAAATGGCTGTTTGTAGATGATGCTGATTACACTATGTAACACAATTCTTGATCCTGGGTGATAAATGTTCATTTCCTAATTAGTTCTAACATAAAACCATGTGAAAAGTTTATTAAACTGCAAAAACTTTGTGCTGGACATCCTGCAGCACATTTTGCTATAGTTTTTCAATGAATATCTCAATGAATCTCTACCAATTCAACATAGCTTGTGGCACCCACAAAAATGAAGTTTCTGGAGTATAACAACTACTTTCAGAGTAAGTACCACATAATTAAACAGGAAATAACAATTTCAAACCAGAAACTGATTTTTTTTCAAATTTTGTTACATAGATGATACTCAGCAACCTAAACAGAACAAATGAGCTGTTTGTTTCAAATATTAACAGGACAGGGGTTCTCTACCCAGAGTATTCCTGTTATTGGATAGTCTAAAAGTGTTGGAAAAATAGAACTAAATAAATAATGTGTGGACAAACATGGCTGATCTATCATGCATGTATTTATTTGGTAAGGTTGGCATTCTACACCACAACTGCAGATGTACCAGAGCTTCATTTGCCTCCCTTTTGCAGTTGCTACACCAACTGAAAAGAGGATCTGGAGAGTTTCTCCAGGACAGGATTCGGTGCTGCATGCAGGAGGGTGACTTGTAGCACTTCCTCTATTAACAAAAGTACAATTATAAGGGGAATCATTTCAGTAGATATTAGCCTAAAGTTGTTTTCTGCCTTACCACAAAGGCCTCTTGGTGAGTAAGCCTTAAAAACAATTGATAGTCCCAACTAGATTCGATACATCAAATTAATGGGATTTATATAAAAGTTGCCTTTTGAAGCCTCCATCGATTCAGTGGGCGAGTTTTGTTGACAGTTGAGTGCAGGACTCATAGAAAAGTACAAAACATACTAGAACAGGGGTCCACAAACTTTTTAAACAGAGGGCCAGGTCACAGTCCCTCAAACTGTTGGAGGGCCAGATTATAATTTGAAAAAACATGAATGAATTTCTATGCACACTGCACATATCTTATTCGTAGTGCAAAAAACAAACAAACACTTAAAACAATTCAATAATTAAAATAAAGAACAATTTAAAAATATAAACTTACTAGCCATCCCCTGCCACGCGTTGCTGTGGCCCAGTCTGTGTATAAGTGTTTTGTGTTTGTATATATGTGCATATTTGTATATACGTGTGATATGTGGTTTTGCTTATGCGTTGGATTGCATTTTTTGGCTTTTTGAGTCTCTTCTGCTGTGTTTTTCAGTGTTCTTATGAGTGATGGTCACTCATTGGCCTGATACCTGTATTGTGTCCAAATTTGGTGTCCATTCTCACAGTGGTTTTTGAGTTATGTAAATCCCACAAACGAACATTACATTTTTATTTATATAGATTAGTATTTCAATGGGAAGTGTGGGCCTGCTTTTGACTGATGAGATAGGATTGTTGTTGTTGTTGTTGTTGTTGTTGTTGTTGTGTGCTTTCAAGTAGTTTCTGACTTAGGTTGACCCTGAGCAAGGGCCGAGTAAATGACCTTGGAGGGCCACATCCGGCCCTCGGGCCTTAGTTTGAGGACTCCTGTACTAGGATATAGTGAGGCTCTAAAGAAGTGAAAAGAGGTAGAGAGATTACATATAGGAACATTTTTTTGCCAGAATTACAGAATCTGAAGTCTTTTCTCTGGGTGCAGATATGTTTTGACAGTGGTGTTAATTGTTTTGTCAAAACATCCAGGGTTGTCAGACTTTGCTTACTATTATGAACTTTTATTGTCTGGTCAAAGCTTAGTGCAAGTATTTTCATGTTGCACTAAGACAGTGGTTCTCAAACTGTGAGTCCCCAGGTGTTTTGGCCTACAACTCCGAGAAATCCCAGCTAGTTTACCAGTTAGGATTTCTGGAAGTTGAAGGCCAAAACATCTGGGGATCTACAGGCTGAGAACCACTGCACTATGGGGATAGGTACACTGTTGTAAGTGTTTGCATTGTTCTCAGCAATATAGATAAATGATCTTTAAATGAATGTTTCTTAACTCATACCTCACAACTAGATGTCGGAAGGAAACTCTATTTTAACTATAGCGCATCTTTGCACCTGATTTCTTCATAACCAAATCTAGATAAGGTAGAGAAACTAGGATATACATGTGTGTGTGTATATATATATGTGTGTGTGTGTGTGTGTGTGTATGTGTGGATGTATGTATGTATGTATGTATGTATGTATGTATGTATGTATGTATGTATATTCTGGTACTATGGCTACAATAGCTGGGGGGTATATTGAATTCCAGCAAGGAAAGTGAGTAAGATAGAAGACCTTGGCAAACGTCTCTAGATAATAAAAAGAGACTTGCATGTGTATGATCTTCCTGTGTGTTTCAGTTAATACTGTCTGTCCAACAGGATGATGAAATCATGCGAAGTAACAGATTGCCCTGTGGCATGACTTCCCAGAATGGTAAACAGTTGCATATCATTAGTGTCAAGCCATCCACAATGTGGTTTGGGGAAAGAATGAGGAAAACCAATGTAATAGTGAGGTAAGTTGAGCATGTTTTTAAAAATGTTGATACAGTTTTACCTTTGTTTCTGAAGTAAGTAGTAAGTAACGTGATTTTTATACCTTGCCACTATCTCCCCACAGGAACTTGGGATGGCTTACGAAAGGAACAAGCCTGAAAATCACAAATAAAATAAAATACATTAAAACAAATCAAATAAAATAATAACACAAATCACAGTCATAAACAACATCATAAAAACAATGCGGCTTAGATAAAAGTCATGGCTGGGATCAAGCTCAATGAGTGCAAAAATTCCGTAAAGGAGCCAATGGAAAGTGTGGAGATCAAGGTACAGGGACTGGAGATCAAATGTACAGAGATTAGGGCATAGCTTAAGCAAATGACGAGGAACAATAGGAGGGCCGAAATAAAGTGCAAGATTTAGAGTGAGCCAAGATAGTGCTCTAGTGAACTGCCTAATCAAAGGCAGAATGGAACATTCAGGTTTTTAATTCTCTCCGGAAGGAGGACAAGGTAGGGGCCTGTCTGATCTCCCTAGCGAGGGAGTTCCAGAACCTGGGGGCCACCACTGAGAAGGCCCTCTCCCTTGTCCCTACCAACCGCGCTTGAGACGGTGGTGGAAGCGAGAGCAGAGCCTCTCTGGATGATCTCAGGGTACATGCTGGTTCATAAGGGAAGATCCAATCGCAAAAGTAGGCCAGTACTGAACCGTTTAGGGCTTTGTACCTTGAATTGGGACCGGAAACTTATTGGAAGCCAGTAAAGAACTGTTTAAACATTGGGGTAGACCGCTCCCTGTAACTGGCTCCCATTAGCAGCCTGGCTGTAGATCTATGAACCAACTGTAGTTTCTGGGCCCCATGTAGAGTGCATTGCAGTTATCCAGTCTGGAGGTAACTAGGGCATGCCTACCATGGACAAGTCAGACTTGACTATTTCATTTATTTATTTACAGCATTTATATTCCGCCCTTCTCACCCCGCAGGGGACTCAGGGCGGATTACAGTGTACACATATATGGCAAACATTCAATGCCAATTTTGACATACAACATATACAGACATACACAGAGGCTATTTAACTTTTTCTGGCCGCCAGAGAGCTGTCGCTTTCATCGTCCATCTGCGACACTGATGAAGTACTTCCGCATTCCCCGCATGCTTTTTTTTTTTTTTGCTGGAGTGCTTTGCTGGAGTCTTTTTTATGGCCTCATAAATTAGTTAATTTAGCCTCCCCACACTTTAAGGTGGTACCTAATTTTCCTACTTGACAGATGCAACTGTCTTTCGGGTTGCAAAGGTCGACAACAGGCTACACAATTGGTTGGAAACCCACTCCAACCCGGACTGGCTTCAAACTCATGACCTTTTGGTCAGAGTGATCTTAATGCAGCTGACACTCAGCCAGCTGCGCCACAATCCCAGTGCACGTCCTATGTACGTGAGCAGCTGGTACACAAGTTTTAACTGTGCAAAGGCCTTCTCAGCCACCGCCAACACCTGAGCATCAAGTGTCAAAGCAGAGTCCAGAATGACCCCCAGGCTGCGGACCTGCAGTCTCAGGGGGAGTGCAAGTAACCATCCTGTACTCCGATTGGTCCCATGACTGACCCAGATGACCTCTGTTTTGTCAGGATTAAGCTTCAATTTCCTTGTTTGTTTTTAGTCACTTGGATAATGAGGAAACCCCAAGCATCATGTCCCAAATGCACTTTACTAGAGATTTAAGATTGTCTGCACACTGCACCTATCTCCAAAAACCTATCCATTTCACCTGTCATGTCTAGCATTTTAAAAAAATTTAATCATTACATTTGGCCCGGCCTTAGTTTTAAATGCATCGTGGTGTTATTGTCTAATGTTTATTGCTATTGTTTTAATGTTTATTGCTTGTTTATGAGTTTATTTATTGTTGTATTTGTTATGCTGTTGTTTTATTGATGTGTTGGGCCTCGGCCTCTTGTAAGCCGCACCGAGTCCTTCGGGAGATGTTAGCGGGGTATAAATAAAGGTTTATTATATTATTATTATTATTATTATTATTATTATTATTATTATTATTATTCAAACTTCTAAGAACAAATTGATCTCTTGCACAAAAATGGTAGGACGTGATGTGCTTCTTTGACTTTATGGCTGAGCATTAGTGATTAGGATTAGTCTCTAGATGAAGTGTAGAAAATGTTTGGCCATCCAGATGTTGTTGAACTCCAGGTTGGTGGGGACAGGGCCTTCTCTATGGTAGCCCCCCGACTCTGCATTTCTTAGACAAACTTAAACTGCTAGTACATGCAGTTCAACATTGGAAGGTTATCCTATTCTGACCTCTGGTCTGGGTGTTCTGTGGAACACTGAAAACACAATAACTATATTGGCGAATCAGAATAAAAGTAAATTTAATGTTATCTTCTTCCACGGAGTGGTCCACGCCTTGGTCACCTCCAGATTGGACTACTGCAATGCGCTCTACGTGGGGCTGCCCTTGAAAACGGCCCAGAAATTCCAACTGGTTCAATGGGCGGCGGCCAGGTTGTTAACTGGTGCTCCTTACAGAGAGAGGTCAACCCTCCTGTTTAAGGAGCTCCATTGGCTGCCGTTCATTTTCCGGTCCCAATTCAAGGTGCAGGTGCTCACCTACAAAGCCCTAAACGGTTGGGGCCTGCCTACCTGTGTGACCGCATCTCCGTATACGAACCCACACGATCTCTCCGATCATCTGGAGAGGCCCTGCTCACGATTCCACCTGCGTCGCAAGCGCGGTTGGTGGGGACGAGGGACAGGGCCTTCTCTGTGGTAGCCCCCCGACTCTGGAACTCTCTCCCCAAGGACATTAGACAAGCCCCAACGCTGGCAGTCTTCAGGAAGAGCTTGAAGACATGGCTGTTCCGGTGTGCCTTTCCAGAATAGGAAGCTCCTAGCATCATGTCCCAAATGCACTTTACTAGAGATTTAAGATTGTCTGCACACAGCACTACCTCTAAAAACCTATACATTTCACCTGTCATGTCCAGCACTTTTTAAAATTCTATTCATTACATTTGGCCGGCCTTAGTTTTAAATGCGTCGTGGTGTTATTGTTTTCAATGTTTATTGTTACTGCTTTAATGTTTATTGTTTTGCTTTATGAGTTTTATTGTTGTATTGTTATGCTGTTGTTTTATTGAGGGCCTTGGCCTTTTGTAAGCCGCACCGAGTCCTTCGGGAGATGTTAGCGGGGTATAAATAAAGTTAATAATAATAATAATAATTTCTAGAGCACAAGTCAGTTAACTGCCTGTGAAAGATCACAAAAGGAACATGAGAGCTAGTGGTTTCTCATATAGATTGGTTTTACTTCTGGTTATTAGAAATATGGAGCTTCTGGCCGTGAAAAGGGCTAAAATCAGAGTTTGTAAAAGCATCTGTGATAGGTTTGGAGGTAACTGGGACTTAAATTACAAAAAGGTGACTTCAAAACTTTTTCTGAAATCATTTGAGATCTGTCCTCCATACAGTCAAGTAGTCTCTAATGTTCATGTGGAAGATTCATATGCTACAAAATACTCTGCTGTTTCTTAAAGTAACTTCTTTTGTGTCATCCGCTGCTCCTTTTCTTAACTTGATATTGTGATGAATGGTAAAATGAAAATATATTTTTTCTTTGTTGTTTCTGTTTAGGACTGGAGAAAGTTCATACAGAGCTTGCTTTTCATTTCACTCTTCTTTTAGTGAGGTATGTGTATTTTCCTGTTTATTTTGTAAAATAATTTTGTTCAATGTATTGTTGAAGGCTTTCATGGCTGGAATCACTGGGTTGTTGTAGGTTTTTTCGGGCTATATGGCCATGGTCTAGAGGCATTCTCTCCTGACGTTTCGCCTGCATCTATGGCAAGCATCCTCAGAGGTAGTGAGGTCTGTTGGAACTAGGAAAAAGGGTTTATATATCTGTGGAATGACCATGGTGAGACAAAGGACTCTTGTCTGCTGGAGCTAGGTGTGAATGTTTCAACTGACCACCTTGATTAGCATATAATGGCCTGACAGTGCCTAGAGCAAACTTTTGTTGAGAGGTGATTAGATGTCCTTGTTTGTTTCCTCTCTGTTGTTGTGCTGTTGTAATTTTAGAGTTTTTTTAATACTGGTAGCCAGATTTTGTTCATTTTCATGGTTTCCTCCTTTCTGTTGAAATTGTCCACATGTCTGTGTATTTCAATGGCACTGTCAGGCTATTATATGCTAATCAAGGTGGTCAGTTGAAACATTCACACCTAGCTCCAGCAGACAAGAGTCCTTTGTCCACCCTGGTCATTCCACAGATATATAAACCCTTTTTCCTAGTTCCAACAGACCTCACTACCTCTGAGGATGCTTGCCATAGATGCAGGCGAAACGTCAGGTGAGAATGCCTCTAGACCATGGCCATATAGCCCGAAAAAACCTACAACAACCCATCTGACAGCAATATATGACATACCTTTTAAATATATTATCTGTCTAGTTTCAGGGACTTTGGACTAAGAAAACTACAATAAAGATGATAATAAGCACTTCATATAAAATCAATGTATTTCATTTTCACATATTAGTTTGGCATTTTTGAGAACAAGCCTATAAAATAAAGAGTTTATTGCAGTTACCTTATTGCTGATTAAAAACATTATGGGAGGACATGGCATGCCCAGTCAAGCCAGTCATTTTATTCCTGGCAGATATTTGGTTCACTATTAATGCTCTTCTGTGTGACTTTATAGTTTCAAAATTTAAATGGCCAAATGGCATAATAAATACTTACAGATTTCAAATGGTCCCAGAATATCCAACTGTATTTTCTGATGCTTGCTATATAAGTTATAATAGTCTGGAATATGCAAGAATTCTTAGCCTGTACCAAAATGTGCTTATCTAAAATGTCATTCTCATGTTTTGTGTTTTGATCTTAATCCATTTTGGTCTGCATGCAGTAAACGTGTAGTAGTTTTATCTCACTGATGTGGAAATAAAGACATAAAAGGTGCTGGGCTTATTAAAAAAGTGAATGTAAATTATGTGTAAATACAGAGGATAATGTTAAAACTCATTTATCATTCTGATTTCCAGCTTTGTGTTTCTCTTTTTAAGTAACCTTTACAAACAACAACAACAAAACAAGAATTGGGTTGTAGGTTTTTCTGGGCTATATGGCCATGTTCTAGAGGCATTTTCTCCTGACGTTTCGACTGCATCTATGGCAAGCATCCTCAGAGGTAGTGAGGTCTGTTGGAAGTAGGAAAATTGGTTTATATATCTGTGGAAAGACCAGGGTGGGACAAAGGACTCTTTTCTGCTAGAGCTAGGTGTGAATGTTTCAACTGACCACCTTGATTAGCATTTGATGGCCTGGCAGTGCCTGGGGCAATCTTTTGTTGAGGTGATTAGATGTCCCTGATTGTTTCCTCTCTGTTGTTTTGCTGTTGTAATTTTAGAGTTTTTTAATACTGGTAGCCAGATTTTGTTCATTTTCATGGTTTCCTCCTTTCTGTTGAAATTGTCCACATGCTGTGGATTTCAATGGCTTCTCTGTGTAGTCTGACATGGTGGTTGTTGGAGTGGTCCAGCATTTCTGTGTTCTCAAATAATATGCTGTGTCCAGGCTGGTTCATCAGGTGCTCTGCTATGGCTGACTTCTCTGGTTGAAGTAGTCTGCAGTGCCTTTCATGTTCCTTGATTCGTGTGTGGGCAATGCTGCGTTTGGTGGTCCCTATGTAGACTTGTCCACAGCTGCATGGTATACAGTAGACTCCTGCAGAAGTGAGAGAACCCCTCTTGTCCTTTGCTGAACGTAAGCATTTGTTGGATTTTCTTGGTGGGTTTGTAGATAGTCTGTATGTTGTGTTTCCTTATCAGCTTCCCTATGTGGTCAGTGGTTCCCTTGATGTATGGCAAGAACACTTTTCCTCTGGGTGGATCTTTGTCTTGACTTCGTGGCTTGTTCTCGGTCTTGCAGCTCTTCTGATGTCTGAGGTGGAGTATCCATTGGCCTGGAGAGCCCAGTTGAGGTGGTTCAGTTCATCTTGAAGGAGGTGGGGTTCACATGGTCTGCCAAGGCTTTAATGGTGCTTCTTTTTTGGCTTGGGTGATGGTTGGAGTTTTTATGTAGATATCTATCTGTGTGTGTGGGTTTTCTGTAGACGGTGTGACCCAATTGTTGATCTGGTTTGCGGATGACTAGGACATCTAGAAAAGGCAGTCTTCCTTCATTTTCTTTTTCCATGGTGAATTGGATGTTTGGGTGGATGCTGTTCAGATGGTCCAGGAACCTGTCTAGCTCTTCTCCATGGCTCCAAACAGTGAAAGTGTCATCCACATATCTGAACCATATAGTGGGCTTTTTTGTTGCTGTTTCCAGGGCTTGTTTTTCAAAGCGCTCCATGTAGAAATTAGCCATGACCAGGCCGGACATTAGCTATGACCAGGCTAAAATTACAACAGCAAAACAACAGAGGGGAAACAATCAGGCACAGCTAATCACCTCTCAACAAAAGATTGCCCCCGCACTGCCAGGCCATGAAATGCTAATCAAGGTGGTCAGTTGAAACATTCACACCTAGCTCCAATAGACAAGAGTTCTTTGCCCCACCCTGGTCATTCCACAGATATATAAACCCACTTTCCTAGTTCCAATAGACCTCACTACCTCTGAGGATGCTTGCCATAGATGCAGGCGAAACGTCAGGAGAAAATGCCTCTAGAACATGGCCATATAGCCCGAAAAAACCTACAACAACCCAGTGATTCCGGCCATGAAAGCCTTCGACAATACATAAAACAAGAAATGCTCTTTCTCTCTCAAGATTGTTGTAAAGTTCTGTAAGATTTTAAATTCCGAAAGTTAATAACACCTCTTCATCACTACTGCTTCTAGATCCAGGATTTTGTGAGCTATATTTGCCCTGTCAATGTGTTTCCCAACGTTATTCCAACAGGTGCAACAGAGGAGAGAGTTATAGAAATGTAAGTGTCTTTTTTGTTGCATTGCTTTGGTCCTCTATTAATGTTGACCTTTCTGACATCTAGTAATTTAAGCCCCTTCTACACTGCCATATAACATCCAGATTATCTACTTTGAACTGAATTATATGACAGTGTAGACTCAGATAATCCAGTTCAAAACAGATAATGTGGATTATCTGCTTTGATTATCTGGATTATATGGCAGTGTAGAAGGGGCCATAGGGAGAAGGGATTATTCAGTAAGGCCTTCAACAAGGTCCCCCATGACCTTCTGGCAAGGAAACTAGTCCAATGTGGGCTAGGCAAAACTACGGTTAGGTGGATCCGTAATTGGTTAAATGGACGAACCCAGAGGGTGCCCACCAATGCTTCCTCTTCATCTTGGATAGAAGTGATGAGTGGCGTGCCGCAGGTTTCCATCCTGGGCCCAGTCCTATCCAACATCTTTATTAATGAGTTAGATGAAGGGTTAGAAGGAATGATCATCAAGTTTGCAGACGACACCAAATTGGGAGGGATAGCCAATACTCCAGAAGACAGGAGCAGAATTCAAAACAATCTAGACAGATTAGAGAGATGGGCCAAAACTAACAAAATGAAGTTCAACAGTGACAAATGCAAGATACTCCACTTTGGCAGGAAAAACGAAATGCAAAGATACAGAATGGGGGATCCCTGGCTCGAGAGCAGTACGTGTGAAAAAGATCTTGGAGTCCTCGTGGACAACAAGTTAAACATGAGCCAACAATGTGATGTGGCGGCAAAAAAAGCCAATGGGATTTTGGCCTGCATCAATAGGAGCATAGTGTCTAGATCTAAGGAAGTAATGCTACCCCTCTATTCTGCTTTGGTTAGACCACATCTGGAATATTATGTCCAATTCTGGCACCACAATTCAAGAGAGATATTGACAAGCTGGAATGTGTCCAGAGGAGGGCGACTAAAATGATCAAGGGTCTGGAGAACAAGCCCTATGAGGAGCGGCTTAAGGAGCTGGGCATGTTTAGCCTGAAGAAGAGAAGGCTGAGAGGAGATATGATGCCATGTATAAATATGTGAGAGGAGGCCACAGGGAGGAAGGAGCAAGCTTGTTTTCTGCTTCCATGGAGATTAGGACTAGGAACAATGGCTTCAAACTACAAGAGAGGAGATTCCATCTGAACATTAGGAAGAACTTCCTGACTGTGGGAGCCATTCAGCAGTGGAACTCAATGCCCCGGAGTATGATGGAGGCTCCTTCTTTGGAAGCTTTTAAACAGAGGCTGGATGGCCATCTGTCAGGGGTGATTTGAATGCAATATTCCTGCTTCTTGGCAGGGGGTTGACTGGATGGCCCATGAGGTCTCTTCCAACTCTTTGATTCTATGATTCTGTGAAGTGCATGGATACTTTTAAAAAGGGGAAGTACTGAATGACAGTGCTTGCTTTATACTTTGGTTGGGTTTGAATTCATCTGTTTTGTATTCTAAATCTTATCAAATAGCATCTTTCTGCATAACTATTTTAAAAATGCATCTCAGAATAAAGGCCTTTGACAGAAGGATGCAGAAGAGAGCCTTCTCATTGGCTTCACCTAGGCCAGGGTAGGGAACCTTTGGCCCTCCAGCTGTGGTGGACTTCAACTCCCACAATTCCTTGAGGCTCGGCATTGGGCCAAGGTAAGCCTTTGGGGAAATGGCGAGCCTCAAGGAATTGTGGGAGTTGAAGTCCACCACAGCTGGAGGGCCAAAGGTTCCCTACCCCTGACCTAGGCTTTGCAACTTCCATTTAAAGGGGCATCCAATTTGACCTCTTTCTGTTGTCTTTTTGCTGGCAAACAAAGGCCTTCTTGTTTAAACAGGCCTTGAGCCATAATAATAATAATAATAATAATAATAATAATAATAATAATAAACCTTTATTTATACCCCGCTACCATCTCCCGCAGGACTCGGTGCGGCTTACAAGAGACCGAGCCCAAATACATCAGAAACAAAAAACACAACAACAATAATACAACAATAAATAACTCATAGCAAAGCAAAGCAATAACAAAAATATCACGGGGATCAGGGGATATAGATGTGTAACTGGGTATGCTTTTTCAATGTACATTGTGTATTTTAATTGTTTCAAATTTTAGTGCTTGAAAAATCGTGTTTGCAATTGAATGTATTATTTAATGGTCTTTAAACATTTTCAACATCTGATCTCCTGCTTTGAATCTTATTTCGGAAGGACATAAGGCAAAGAAAGTGAGCAGTCTCTGGATCGAAAAGTCCAAAATGAATAATATGCTTATTCCTTTCAGTTTAAAACCATTGTGCCGAATGTACAGTCAAAGGAACAAACCAATGTATAAACCACTTGGGGCACTGAAGAGAGCCAGAACGTCGGATGAAACAGATTCAGGTAAAAGAGATGCTGTTTTCGGATGACGGTGGCAAAGGAGGCCAAAATTGTAGCTTCAACCAGAGAATCATGTATTCTCTCATCTGTGTAATTTGACATATATTTTAAGATTCCATTTTTTAAAATTGTTTTATTGGTTTTTCCCACTCCCACCCTCCCCTCCTTGTACATGCCATTTATACATCAAACTACAGAAGTTACATTTGAAATATCAGTCTCAGTCTTAATTTTTCTACTCCACATCTTAACACATTCTCTAAATAATTCCTAACTGGTTCCCACATCCTCTTAGTTATTGTAACCTTTTCAATTTTATCTATATTATTCCATTTGCAATTTGTTATTTCCACATTTAACATATTAACTATATAGTTATACCAATTAATCAGCGTCCATTTTGTTTTGTCTTTCCAACCCCTCACTAAAACAATTTGTGCACATGCGATTAATTTGTCAACCAATTTTTCCTTTTGTATATTCTTCACTCCTGTTATGGGTAAAAGGTAAAGGTAAAGGTAGTCCCCTAACATTAAGTCCAGTCATGTCTGACTCTGGGGTGTGGTGCTCATCTCCATTTCTAAGCCGAAGAGCCAGTGATTCAGGAGATTTTACCCCAGTTCCCAATTTTAAAAAGAACTGGCCGATTTGCAATGGAGGTTGCCGATTAAGAACCAAATTTACCATCAAGTTGGAAGGGAGGCTGTTCAATTGCACCTCCTCCTTTATTAAGAAAGTAATAACTTAGTAGTAATTACACTGTATATACTGTAGCGTGACTGGAGAGAAGAATGTAGTTTTATTTGGTTACTTTTCCCTGCGTTTCTGCCACCACGTGAGGTAAGTTGTAATATTGTGAGAAATGGCACTTTGGACACAGAATAGACGACTTTTGAACTCTCGCTTGCTGAGGTGTTCCAGCGAGTGTCTCTGTAGATCTAAGAAAACTATTTCTTGATTAGTATCACCCTCGGGATGCTTGTCTGTTCTTAAGGTGAAAGGCACATTTAGATGGATTAGGGATCAGTTGGTTTTCCCTGGAATAGGCAGTTAGAGCAATGTGACAGTTCCATACATGCAATTTTTGTGTAATCACAAGTACCTATACAATGGGACTGGGAAATCTGAAGCAACATGATGTAATATTTACCCACTAAACATGATATCAGGCTAAGAGGGGAATTAGTATTGTTAACAGTAGCTATGTACCCCTTTTAACATTCATTGTCATTCTTAGGTATTTCTCTGAATAGGCCATGTCCAGTCTGAGGATTTTTTGTGGCTACTGCTATGTTTGCACAGTTGCATTGTGGATGACTATGTCTGCAAGTTCCTTTAATGCTCTGGCATGCAGTTTGTCTGGCCTTGCAGATCTGAACACATTTAGCTTAAATAGGTGATGACTGTGTAACCCATTATCGGTCTTGATTTGCAACCCAGATTCCTTGGCTGATTCCTGGAGCTACACAGTTATCTTTTTTTTTTTGGGGGGGGGGGGGCAGGAACTGAAGCAAAATAGTTATTAATTAGCTCTGCCTTTTGTGGTAAAATATTCCCATCATTTCCTTCAGTCACTTGCTTTGAATATGCACATTTGGAAAAACTAAAAAAAAAAATTGTGCTGAGACTTTCCTTATACCATTCCGGCAGGGTTGAACTACACAACTGTATTCTTCCTTGGTGATTCATCTTTCCTTTCCATTCCTTGTATGCAATCTTTTTTCTTTTCACATTTTCAGTATGCTTATTGTACCTAATTGGTTCTGTCATTAAAAAACATGGAAAAAGTTTATTGAACTGCAAAAACTTTGGTTTTGTGAGACATCCTGCAGCACATTTGCTATAGTTTTCAATAAATATCTCATAGAGTCTCAACCAATTCAACGTAGTTTGTGGCAGCTACAAAAACCAAGTTTCTAGGGTATAGCAACTTCTTTCAAAATAAGTACCACACAATTGAACAGGAAATAACACTTTCAAACCAGAAACAGTTTTTTTTTCAAATTTTTCAAATCTTCAAACCCTCAGTTGTAATATCCCAGACATGGGAGTCATCCCACCAAGTCTCTTTTATAAAGTCATTTTATCTTTCTGCACTATAACTTGGACTTTATCTTTGTTTTTTTTTAATTCTGTGTATAAACATTTGAAGTTTTGTTTGTATTCATCTGTTAAATTACTGTCGATTTTTCTGTGTTTCACATTGTTTCCCTTCAACTTCTCTTCTAGAATACACATCCTTGTATTTAAAATTTGCCTTTGGGCTGATATTTGAACTATAATTTCCAACACACCAAGGATTTAGTTTAAAGCCTCTGTCATCAGTTTATCTATACTCTTGCCAAAGACATTCTTCTTCGTCTTCATGCGGTATAGCCTAGTTGTAACCAGTATTCTTTCAAGAAGTTATGACAATGGTTCCAAAAGCCCAACCTCTCCTGTTAACACTCCTGGGGTGGAGTGGGTAATTATATATCAAACAGCCCAAAGGCAAATTCTAAACAGTATCTTCTGTCCCTGTCCTTCTTTCACTAATGGAATAAGGTGAGAATAACACCTGGGTTTCTAAACGCTTTGTTTCTCTACCCAGGGTTCATAGTCCAAGGTGATCTTTGCAAGTACCATTGATGTCCACATGTCTTGTCTAGCAGGCACACAATTCCCTCTACCCATATGCAGTGAATCCTCTGTCACCAGCAATTTTCTTCTTGCTGCCTTTGGTGGTTAGGTTGGATCCCTCCCTGTCATGCAGTGATTCTTGCTTCTGGTTTCCTATTTGCACCTCTTCAGCATTACTATCTTCAGGAAGATGTAAGATGTTCATGTATGATGATCCTGGAAGGATTGCATTCATCCTTTGATGTGTGGACAGTGCTCATTATCAGCTATTGGACTGAAGATCCTTTGATGAAGGAGAGCTTTATTGTTCTTTTGAAAACTTCATTTTTGAAAGCCTTGTATACTGTGTTATGGGGTTTTAATGATATTATAATGCTGTTATAATTTTAAAAAATGTTTTGGAAGGTGCTCTGGGAAAAAAGTGGAATGCAAACACAATAAATGAATAAACGTGTTATTCTTTGACATTTGAAAGGTAGTACTAAAAAGCCAGAAAAGTGCTATTTCAAATTAGAATTGCAAAACAGTTACTTGTTAAGACTACAACCCTTAGAAGTCTTAGTACCTATGCTTACATAATTCTTAGGTCCCATAGTGGACCTCATCTGTTCCTGCATTTGGAAATGTCTTGTTTGATAACCCTTATGGCATGGAACCATTTGTTCTATTGAATCAGAATCCAGTGGATGGAAAAATTACAGTGGCATTACTGGACTAATCTGATTAGGGTATGGCATTATAATACGAACATTGGTGCCTGGTCATCATGACCATCCAAAAATAACTGATTGGATCAACTGTGTCTTTAATGTTCTGAATAACTTTGGTGTCACATGTTCAACTCTGCACTCACAGTTGATGTAATCTTACACAGAATAGTTCAAGGCTCTTGAAACTATGTGGTTCTCACTCAGTGAGACTTGTAGTATTTAGTTTCTACTGAATGATGATGGATGAAGTGGGAGATGAAAAAATGCAATACAAATACAGGCATTCCAAAATCGGGGGGGGGGGGGCAAACACATCTAGTTCCAAGCATTTTGGATAAGGGATGTTCAACCTATATCTCTTGGAGAATTAAAACAAGAAAACAAAGATATTGTTCAAGGGTTGAAAAACTCTGGGGCTGTTTGTGCCTTGAATCCATTGGTGGCACTACACTTTGCCATCCCCGTCCCACCAATTAATTTGTATGACCTAAATGAACAATTATGAATGTCCTCTTCTGCAAGCTTCCACAAACAGCAGGAAATTTTTTGAATAGGTTTCAGGGGCTATCCATCGTTTAGCATTTTTTAAACCACTTTTTCAGAACCAGACATGGACCTCATTTTTTTCCCTTTTGCTTATCTTTTGGCAGTGTGTTCAGCCCCTAGAGTGTCCAACAGGTAGAAAGTTGGCTTTGTAGGCCATTGTAGTCCATCCCTTAGTCAAATCAGCAACCATTAGGTTCTTTTTATAGTGTCAGAAAACCACTGTGGACTAGTGATTTGAATGTTGGATTAACACTCGACCATGAAAACTCACTGGGTGCCCTTGGGCAAGTCACACTCTCTGAGCCTCAGGGAAGTAACAGCACACCTCTGAACAAATTCTGCCAAAAAAGCTACATACATTAGGGTCATCATTTGCAAGAAGTGACATCAACAATTATAGTGCGGTGGTTCTATTTTTAATTGCTGTGGACTACAGTCTCTGAAGTCTTGGAACCTGAAGTTGGGGAGACAGCAAAGGAGCACTCCCTAAAGTACAAAAAAGAAAAAAAAATCCCTAAAATGCAAATCTCTTTAATCTGTTTTGAATAATGCTCCTGTCCTCTGGAGTATTGACTATCCCTCCCAATTTGGTGTCGTCTGTAAACTTGATGATCATGCCTTCTAACCCTTAATAATTATCAAGATGTTGAACAGGACCGGGCCCAGGACGGAACCCTGCGGCACTCCGGTCGTCACTTCTTTCCAGAATGAAGAGGAAGCATTGGTGAGCAATGCTTCCTCTTCATTGCTCTGGTTTCGTCCGCTTAACCAATTACAGATCCACCTAACCGTAGTTTTGCCTAGCCCACATTTGACTAGTTTATTTGCCAGAAGGTCATGGGGGACTTCGTCGAAGGCCTTGCTGAAATCCAGGTATGCTACATGCTTCTGATGCCTCAATAAAATTACATCAATTGAGGCATTGGCAGGTTAAATGTTTTTGAAATATTTTCAAAACAGTAAATTAGCTCTGTAAGTGGAAAAGTAGGGTCAACTAAAACAATATGGTAGCAATAATAACTTAATAGTAATAATAATAATAATAATAATAATAATAATAATAATAATAATAATAGAAGAACTTCATTTGTATCCCGCCTGTAACGGACTGGCTTACCTTGAAGGGTT